GAGTAAGATATTCTGATGTATCAACATGTTTTGCATTTCCATCAAATTCCGACTACCTGAAACAATGGCACTGTTATCTATTCCAATGGCCATAACGCTAACGGATGTGAACGCTGCTACAATGGAATTGTTTGCATGGGCGTATGCGGATTACACAATGAGAGGGGCTACAAGAAGAAAAGAACGCTGAAAAACGAGTTGAAGGCGCCGCGGCCGTCAGCTATTTCTTGCGTGTCGTTAACATCATCGCGTGTTCTCACTCTTCTTATTTTTCGTGTCTACCTGAAATTTTTAACTGTCAACATTAGATCGTGTAAATATCAACGCGCGCTAAAAACTGGGTGGGCGGGGGGGATGTACCCCTAGTGGCCACTATGTGCGTTTGTCCCATAGTTTCAGGATGTTTCAGCACGTCGAGGGTACCTGTATGCTACTCGATACGCACGGGAGTGGATTTGGGTAAATCATGCCGGTAGGGAGGGGTATTATTATGTAAAAAATATTAGCAGGGGATAGCAGCCAATGTTGGGAGGGGATGGTGAGAAGACCACCATTATTGACGATGATAGGGGCGCAGAGTATTCGCAAAAGGACACAAACTGGTAACCCTGCAATCGGTATTTTTTTATCCAGGCATAATCATCCCTTCACTTGTGGCTGGTCAAGCAAACAGATGAAACCCTTTAGATGCTGAGTAGATTGATGTCACGCTTAGCTTTTAGTATGTAATATAATATCATCGAACAAACGTGTTGTTGGATAACCGGCACTTTTGAATTGGAAAGCGTGACCCTCATTTTAGTTCTACACGAAAACACAATTCCTATTTTTGGCAGAAGTGCAGAGCATCATTAGTAACATACCGAAATTTGGATAATCAGCTACAAACCGAAATTTGGAAGAGTAAATCCGCAATACGGGTTTCAGTTTACAGAGATCAAAGCAGTCTCCCGAGCGTTTGCAGATGTCCTCCTTTTATGGCACAGTACCACGTGACCTAGACCGTTCACAAGCTCCGGGTGTTAACGAGCCGTCAAGCCTTATACCCGAGCCAAGAATGATGGCAACCAGCTCTTGATCTAAAGTGGCTTCCTAATCTGCAATGCAGAACGCTTGCATTAATTTCTCAGAAGTGGAGAAGTTATCATTTTCTGCCAAACTGCAACGTGGAGGCAGTCCAAACACAGCCACGCTGAACTGTATCATTTACAACGCAAAACATGCCCGCGGTTGCACAGATTCCCTGGCTGTTTCTGACAATCTACAATCGATCTAGCAGTCTGACATGTGACGAGGGCCGCAGGCAAGATTTCTGAAAGTATGGGGTTCGGAGCTTTGGGACCTGGAGCTTGGTGAGCACGAAGCACGCCAATCATAACTTTCCTTCGGGAGCATTCCCTGGTGAAAAACGAAAAAATCGGCCCTGGGGGGGGGGGGGGTCTGAGTCCGGGCCTCTCCCTTGGGTGTCTGTGCCCCATCATGTGAGGGCATGTGAGAGAAAAATGGAGGGAGAGAGTCGGCTCATTTTGCCAGATGTCGCTCGGGACAGGCGCGCTGACGTATACAAATTCACACAAAGGAACAAATTAGGGACGGGAGACCGTGGCGCTGTGAATGACAGACGGTCCCTTCCGTGCCACACTGACGGGGATGTTTGCGAATGACGACACGCGATAGTGATATCGAGCTCGCATCACGGCAGCTGCTCGTGTTGCTTACATTCCGCTGTTTAAAGTCATCCAGGCCTTGCAGGATTCTCGAATAATACTGGCGGTAGGCCAGTGAAAGTGACCGAGAAACCTTCAACGCGGCACTGTAGGCGCTGAAAGCAGCGGATCGATGTATTACGAGGGAGACATTCGCCGACCGCCGACTTGTGTGCGGAGTTCGCCGCGTACATTGCAGCCATCTCGTTCTCGCTGATCCGGCACGCGACTGATTGATCCGCAGTGCACTGCACACCAGCACGCCTCCGCCCCAGGCCGACCTTCCGCGTGCCCGTCCGGGGCCGCGGGGGGGGGGGGTCGGTCGCGGGCGATTGGCAGCCGCATCATCCCCGCGGGGGTCCTCGCCTGCGCTGATTGACGCTGATTGACTGGGGGCCGAAAACACGTCGGTGTGGCGGGCGCCGGCGGCGGCACCGTTTGGCCGCGGGCGCCGCCCGCTGCGGATACAAACAGCTGCTAACGAGCCGGAGGGAGGGCGGCGGCCGTCTGCGAGGCGGGCGGTCAGGCATGGCGCAGGCGCCGGACCGTGAATGTGACGCGGACCGGACGGAGGGGGCGGGGGGGGGGGCACGTTCTACGAGAAGCGCCGGCTCGTGATGAGTACGCTCTTGCACTCTTGCTCTTGCAAGAGCGAGATACGCTCTTGTGGAAAGCGTATCCGTGCAACGCCAGCGTCACGCCTGTTTTTTTATACATTTATTCCGAATGGTTTGCATGGGTGACCTCGGATTCAGAGTACCTGCTAGGCATAGCTTGTTGCTTGTTCGTGTACCCCGAACCCACCACCCAAGCGTGCCGTCCAGTTCAGCAGCTAGTTTTGCCTCCGCCCGTTCGCCAGGCAGGAATGCGGGGGCTTTTACGTCCTGCGCAATGCTGCGACACGGCCGCCTCGGGTCTGGGTTGACCCTCGTTGGCCAGTTGCCAGCTGGCCTTTCCATTTCAGTCGTGTCAGACAATGCGCCGGCTCTGGGACTCGTATTTTTATTCAATTCATCTGTTTCGTACAATCATCGCGCATCATCAAGGAACTTGATTCAGATGGTATAACAAGGATCTAATGCGATGACAAGAGCAGTTTCAGATCACCTTATCAAGAAATTGTTGGGGTTATTTGCCGCCTTCCCAGGCCGCAAAGCCTTTCCCGTTTTGCCGTTGTGTCTTTCATAGGCAAAAGGCCTTGAAGGCCAGCGTCTTGCCTTTCAAAGTTTGCAGAGCATTACTGCCAACGTCGCTTGGCTGATCACAAGTTGCTGGTGTACCAAAGAAACCTGCCATTTCATAATCGTAACCTCATCTCATAAAAACTTCACCGTGCAGCCAATGTGTTCCCTCCATGGGATAGGTATGCATGCAACAATATTCGTTTACGCGTTGACAATTCTATAGCAAAACGAGTCATGCAAGAGTCGAACCGAGTCAAACGATAACGTGCAAGGGCGCCCCATCATCAAAGCTCCGACGAGGCCGCCTTTTGAAACTGCGCCAGTTGCCCGGCGGCGAAGACCAAAGAAAAGGCTTCGCTACCACTGCCTTAGGCGAATGAAGCAGTGGGGATGGTGCCTTTGCTCGCTCCTTAGATCTGACCAAGATTTTCTGCACAGCCGATGGTAATTTATTAACCCATGCCCAGATGGCCGGTTGAATACCCGTCGTTCGGGCGGGGTCAGTTTGACCCGCTGAGATCTCAAAAACTAAGAGAGCTAAAGATCCCAAATTCACATGATGTGTTGGCTTGTACGTGTGTCAAAAGTTGAAGTTCCTAGGTCTTGACCTTCGGGTCAAATAAGGATAAACAAGGCCATACTCCAGATTGGTGTCCAAAGTGTCCCCAAACCTTTTCATGTAGCCACCGTAAACCTAAATACCTATTTTGAACAAAAGGACAGTGGTGCTCATAGAAGTTCATTGACCTTATGTGACTATGCAAAGGTCATGGAGACCAAAATTATATGATAATGTTTCGATTCATGCATTTGAATAAGGGCCAAGAACTACGCTAGGCAGTATGTCTAACAAAATGAGATATTCACCTGGGCCATTTAAGGCCAGCGACCCATGATTTAAGACGGAAGCGCATGTATTATGTTCCATAATTACTGTGCGGCTGCTCTTGCAGTGGAAGTTGTATAATCCAGTTCCTGCTATCAACAAAGTATAATAAGCACCAGAAACTACCCCATACAGAAAGCTCTACAGTAATAAAACAGGTTGGTTTTGACCTGAGTGTGACCCTCACAACTGACCCTAGGTGACTGCAATTTTTTAATTAAATTGTTATGTTGCTTAGGAAACTATCTCGGAGATACATAGCTCCATCTTACACTCATTGTTGTATCAGATTGAATCATTACCTTGAAACTGTTTTCGTGGAATGCATGGTCTAATTTTACTGAGAACATCTAAATTTTGATACCAAACAATCCGCTGTTCAATTGTCTACAGCTAAGTAAAATTTGGCGTGGCCACTACGCGCCTTTCCGAAATCATTCCGGAAAGACCTACGGGGGTGAAATGAACCCACTCCCATCCGACCGCGTGTTCATGTTGTTTTTGTCAAGGCATTCGTTTCCAATCCAAGCGAGAAACAAATGTATGGTATACGGGTGCGTTGTGACCGACATGCTCACCCACCCGACACTCATCGGCGTTTAGCGACCGCCGTCCCAGGGACACTCGCTTACTGATATGTTTTTAAGCATGGAGTAATTTCAGCTCTATTCAACGCCGTTGTCAGCATGCATACAACATTCATGCCATGAGCGGTTGCTAAGGGAGAATCCGCTGCCCTCACCTCCTCTCTGTTCTGACAAAGCTTGACTTGACTTTAATTTGACTTGGCTCTACATGTAATGAAGTGAAGTGAATTGGCATCAATCCCCTCTCTCTCCTCGCCCCCTCCCCCATCCTCCCGCTCCTTTCTATCACCTCCCTACCACCTTAACCAATCGCCCAAACGTGGCGTTGTAGGTGTGCTGCGTTGTACGTGTGGTACCAATTATGTTCCATAATTACTGTGCGGCTGCTGTTGCAGCCATATATATCTGATACCACTGGTATCAGTTGATACTAGATAACGGTTACGATGTCTATGGTTGCAGCTATCAGCACCAGTCAGCTGATAGACGATTTGCTTATAGGAATTCTGAGGCATCTCCTCGTGACAAAGTCATTACTTGCTCTTTATATGCAGGTTTTGGTGTCAGCGGACCGTGCGCGGTTTTCCCACTGCCTTTGCTATTGAGCGACTAAATGACGTAGACGTTTCGTTTACAGGTTTGCCGAGGCAGCCACAATGGCCGCGATGGGGTCATCCGAAGAACCACTGAGTGATGACGCCCTCTGCCGTCTCGGGTGAGCTGACCCCAGACATTCTGCATGGCGTCTGGGTAGCCAGCCATGGTCAGCGCTCCGGTCTCCTTATCATCCGCCATAGGTCATCTGGGCTTTCGCGGAAAGTGGCACTTGCGAACGAATCTGTCGTGCCAGGGCTTAGTTTTATGAGACGAGGCTTCTTAGCCGGCGCGTGACCTTGATTGAGGTCGGTCACGTCCTCGTGGCCACACGAGCGACGACTAAGTGGTGTGCTGGACTCTTGCGGCCGCCGCCGGCGACGGACATAAGCATTATTTGAGATCAGCTGACACTCCACATACGAACACGTGGCCACTACGTGTAATTTGTCGGCGACACAAAACAGTCAGTCCAAACAACGGAAAGTAAGAAGGGATAACAAAATAAACACACACACGCGCACAGCACCAAACAACCCTACCACAGAACGAATGACGTGGCGGCGCGCTTCAGACTCGTCGGGCCGAGTCGTCTCACATCCGCCGGCAACTCGTTCAGCAGACGAGCCGCACGGTATGCAAAAGACTGTTATCCTGCCGCCGCGCGCATAACCGGGGGCGCGTGCTCTCGTCCTCACATTGGAACGCTCTTGCTAGTTCCTGTAGACCGCCCATGGACCCACGCGCCGACGTGTGTTTGGAATAAACAGGCCAGATCAGCGTGTTCACCTCGCTCACGGGCGTTATGCGCAGCGATGACAGTTTGCACTGCACAGATCAGCTGAGGTGTCACAAGGTACGGCGTATACCGCGCGCAGGATACGTGGTCATGTTTTCGGAGATCAGTTGCTACCCTGGCAGCACAGTTAACTATTTTCAGCGGATGGTGTCGTAACTGCTAACCCCTGACCGTAAATTGAAATACAGTATATCTCGCGCGAGATGATTGGAACCCTCACGATTGTCAGTAGTTTCGTTATTGCAGGAGTGTTTCAGGAAGCGAGGACCAGTCAGGAAGGCAATGCATTTTTGAACTACAACGCTAATTTACGCTCCCCAGTTCAGCTGGCGGTCAAATAGAACGCCAAAGACTCTCTGACTCCCGCGCGGTCTGCCAATTGACCCGTGCGCTGCCTGCCAAGCAGGAGTTCGGCTTTGGGTGCATTCGGCTTGAGACTCTGGGCACATAATCGGGATGATGGGAACGGGAGGATAGCTGCATGTGTTGGATGAGGGAAGGAAGGCTGACATCGGATATCAGGATTTGGGCGCCGTCAGCGCACTGGATCATATGAGCGTCTGGTGCGTGCAGGCTGAGGTCCTTGGCGAGGATTGTGCATAAAAGACACGACATACGACAAAAAGTGAAATGAACAAGGCACATGTGATCCGATCATGCGTAGTGCGGGCCATCGACCAGTATAATATCCTTGGACTAGGTGTGGTAATGGATGGACAATGTTCGAGCCATTGCAAGCAGTGAAGCGGAATAATTGAGGGTCCTTCAGGGAAGTTCGGAAGGCATTGCGCCAGGCTCAGCCTGTTCAGCCCATCTGACTGACTCTGAGACCGGAACGGACCGAGGCGACATCGTCTCAGCCGGCTGCCCGTTCTCGAAATAAGCGGCTGAGGCGTCTCCGTCAGCGCTGATCGGAAAAGGTAGCGCGCTGTCCCACAGATGGCTTGGCGAGCGGAGAAGAAGAGATCAGGCGGCGCACTCCAAATCGCACCTAGTGGTCTCGTCGCGGAGCGGCGGCTAGGATGAGGCGGCAATCACGGCGCGTTGAGCGGAGCCCCTGGCGCGTTCCGCGTTTTATACCCAGGTTATGATTCATGATGGTGTGCCCACAATATAATGCGCCACGCCAGTAACATACCTCGTCGCCAGGGGCGCTAGGAGACTTAAAGACCCTCTCCAATACTCAATCATTGACGCCTTACTGCGCCAGAAATGAATTGGCGATAAATATATTTAATGGTGCCATTAAACGATTTTTAAGGGCTAACGGCATGCATCGATTCATTATTTTGTGAGCCTGATACGCAATCAGCTGGGAGGAGTGTGAGATGCACCTCATAGAAGATTACATGAGATGCTGGCATTAGTTTGTGCGGTTTAGTGCGTGTTTGCCGGCCTGGTTGCCAAGTTCAAAACATGAATGGCAGGGGAATTTGCAGGAACTTGTTGACAAGTTCATAGCCTATGATGGAAATGATGATTGCAGTCAATCTGGGGGTGCTGATGTATGGCAGAGCCAGGCCCGTTGCAGGGGGGGGGGGGGGCGGAATACCGGATGTGAGCTTCTCTTGTTCACATATTTGTACACCTCTCATAAAACCGTCCGCGCTCGGCAGGTGACCAAGGTAAGGCGGGCTGTAACAGCTGAGTAGAACCCCTAAACATATTGTCTTGCCTAATATGGCAAGTGTCAGGCCCATATTTTTCCGTTTCACCTTCATTTTGTTCGCGAACCGCTATTTTGGTATTTGAAGGGATGCATATCGATAAGTTAAATTCGGTGCATATTTTGAACTGGTGCACCCGCCAAGGTGGGCATGAGGGAGCAGGGTGACGCATGTGACGTGTGGAAATGTGCCCCGCTCATTTGACAATGAAAACAGAATTAACAGGGTGCAAAATCATACCATGCAAGGAACAAAACCGGGCCCGGATCTGAATGACCCAACGCCATTGCGTGCGCGTGTATATGTACCCTATCTTCCCTTTCGCGCAACTTGCTGGCGACCTTTTCATCTTTTTCGGCCGGAAACACAAACCTTGGGACCTTCTTGATGTGCTTTGGCTCAGTGAGTACTATCCGTGTGGCGCACGGAACTCCATTGCTACCGCGCAAGACACTGAATCAGTCCCTCCAGCCGCGTAGTGTCATGGTGCGGCATTCATTATGGCGCGATAATATTTACGGGCATGGCTGAATACCCCAAGGCAGCGTCAAATGGAATGATTGAGAACGATCCATTACATCCCATGCTGCAGATCTTCTTTTTAACAACGTATCTTCATTATCATTGTGTTTGTGGGCACAACGCGTGCAGATAACTGAATCAGCCATCCCGTCTACCCCTGTTGCGTCAAACTGCTTGAGGCCTTGTCGGCGATTACTTTCGCGTGAACCATGTAACATGGACTCGACTTCCCTTGTTGAGCTGTCAACTTTAAAAAAGTTATATTGTTCGGCACAGTCGGTGCCGCATGATGGTGTTGATATGAAAATTGATAAAACAGAATTCGCCAACATATGATGTCTAAATGTTGTTCGTAGAACATAATTACGCATGCAGTTTAAGTGTACAAGATAATGATAGTGCACACATGCGTGGAGTGAACTCAGACCATTGTGTTCCTTATGGTTATGTGTTTGTGTTAAAGGGAGTGTTCCACATTTGTATGCAGTTTAGAACTGAAACAGCCAACTTGAAAATAATTCGGTATAGTTCACATCGTTGCGACACTTAAACCACCATTGGCCGGGGTGGGTCAAAACTGACCCCCCCCCCGCCTAAAATTATTGGTAATTAACAAACGCCTTGAGAGATCACTGCAAAATGTTTAATAGCTATCGCTTGATAAGTTTTACGTCTGGTGCCAAAATACCAACTAAGAGACCACAATAGATCATGCGCGCCAGACGTTAGGGTGACGTCATATTTGCCTATTTGTTCTCACAAAAGCGCATAGTCGTAGACAAACTGACACAGAAGCCGAACGAAAGCACGCATTTGGTACCTGTAAACAGAAAATGTTACCCAATTAGTCTATCATTCAAAGGTCTTGTTGCGATGTTGTTTCAATGTTGCGCTTTAAAAGATTGGCGTTTCAAAAGCAAACAAAATTGATAAAAAGTACACCCAGCATATTTTGATGTCAGACTCAAGACAATTAAAACATGGAAAAAGCGTCCTCGATATGACTGCGAAGGAGGCCTGTACTACGTTTTAGACCACGATCTGTAACAACGTGAGATACATGGTGGCGGCGCCGTGACGGGGGGAGGGGGCTATAGTCTGCCGCGACGCGGCGGCGCCGCAACGGGGGGGGGGGGGGGGCTTTAGTCTGCCGCGACGCGGCGGCGCCGTGACGGGGCGGCGGAAGCCGCTTACCAGTTTCACACGTAAACCGACGGTCACGTGACTGGCGGCGGAGTTGAAAGAAATCGATAGGTTGTGCGGTCGGAAGGACTGGACCGTCAAAAACAACGCGAAAATCGATTCAACCGCTTGTCCACCAGCAATATCATTCATTTAAGCTTGACCTCAGACGGTTCATGAACAAGCAACAGCTCTCACTCACGGGTCTGGTATCCACAATTGACTCTTACTTCACGTTTAGATGTTTCAAATATGACGGAAATGAAGAGACCAAATAGACATAACGTATTCTGTTTCAGCTCTTGTTTGCATGACACGTGACCTTGACTGTTGACCTGGTACGGTGTGCGAAGTATTAGATACCTTTTTATGTCGCATGTTTGATCATGGGGGAATGATTTTCGTCATGAGATACGTTCCTAAATGAAATGCGTTGTGGAAGCGGTCAGATAGTTATGAAGTGCATTTGCGAGGTACATTATTAACGAAGACAAGTCTGTAGTATTAGCCTTATTCCTGTGAGAAAAAAACAAGAAAATGGCGGTATAAAAATATACAAAAGAAAATATTTTGGCGGCATGCCTTTATCGAAACAATGGCAGAAGTGGATTCAAAATTGTCTGCCGATGATCCTGTTCGATTTTTCAGCTTTGTTTTTTAAGTAGCAAGCCACAGTTTTTACAGGACACCAACATTCAGGGAATTAAACACGAGGCAATTGCCATTCGGCCGTGCTGTTCTTAAGATAAGCGGAGGGTCAAATCTGCCTCTGCTGATCACCGGTGTGCCACTGAGTAACCCCGTCAATGCCGGGTTAAGACCTAACAAACTCTAGTTTTTTAGCTGCACGCCTGCGAAGATATGCGGACCATTTCGTGCAGACTATTTCAAGATCACCAGGGGTCCATGACGCCATAATAATGACATTCAAATTCTGTCATTCCATAAGCC